ACTTGACACATTTAAACATTTTTTCCTGAAGCCACTAAGTCTCATCAGCCATTAAGCCAGGAAAACCTGGCTTTAATGTTAAACATATTTTATAGTCATAGCTGTGCCAAAAAGCCAAGTTTCATGTACAAATCCTTCCTTGGTTGTCCTCCAAAAAACGACTTGTACTGAGGGACAAATCTCTCTCACCAGCAACCAAGGTTATCTGAGGCCTTTTTTCAAGCTGAGGGTGGAATAGTTCAGCATGGCTCCATTCCAAAGAAGAATTTCTCCCTGAAAACCAGAAGAGGTCTTCAAAGACTACTGGAAAGGGTCATCTGCCTAGAGATTTTGTTTGTTTTACAAATGACTGCTCCGGACAAGTTTTACTGTTGGAGTAACAGAGTTGGGAAACAGCCTGCTGGCGAGGGCACCAAACATGCCCTGACACGAGTGCTGCGCTGGGCCCATGGTGCACACATCTGTGCTCTGCTCTATTGCAACATCCAGAGTGATTTGGTCTACACGTGTTGTTTCTACTATACAGATCTGCAAAATGTCATTTAACCACAAACACACTGCTATTAAGCCAGGTGTTTGTGATCACACAGCTGCTCCCTAAGTTCCCCCTCAGCACTACAGACCTCAAAGGATTGCAGTAAACCCAGGAACGCCAACCATGGGCACGTGTTAGCAGCTAGGCAGAGGAGTGTAAAGGCAAAGCCACCTGCTGAAACACTTGGCAGCCACAACTCCTAGCTGTTTGCCCTTGAATAAGTTATTCACCCTCTCTGAACTTTGTTATCCTGATTTTATTTTATTGTTATCCTGATTTTGGAGACTAAACTAACAGGGCCTTCTTCAAAGGTCAAGTATTAAATGTGAGGACACATATAATTACTAGACCCAGAGTGAGTCAGCAAAGCGTGCTAGGTATCTATCCAGCCTGCTTCTGATTGGCCCTGTTACCTACTGCCACTGAGTTGATTCCAATTTTAATTGACCCTATAGGGCAGAGTAGAATTGCTCCTTACTGCTTTCAAAGCTGTGAATTAAAAAAAACCTTTACTGACATATAATTCACAGATCATAAATTTCAATAATTAGTCTATGAATCTTCATGAGGACCATCTCATCTTTCTCTTAAAGAACAGTTTTTGAATTTGAACTGCCAACATTGTGGTTAGCAGCCCGATGCGTACGCCGCCATGCTATCAGGACTATGCTATCGGGACTCCTTTAGGTGAGTCACAGGACTTTCTAAGTTGTTGGTTTGCTCCACCAGGTCCTGCCAACACTCTCCAAGAAGCAGCTCACTGAAGGCTCTACTAATTCTGCTGAGTAGTTTGGAAGAAGAAAAACAAACAAACAAAAAAGCTTTCTTTGAGGATGTGAATACCAAAAACCAATCCCAACCCACTGCCATTAAATCGATTCTGACTCATGGGGTTTCTGAAGTAATCTTCATGGGACTAGAAAGCCTCAACTTTTCCCTTTGGTAAGGCTGTTGGGCTTGAACTGCTGACCTTGTGATTGGTTAGTAGTCCGATGCTTACTCGGCAGCACCACCAGGACTTGTTTTGTTATCTTTATGTGGCGATCAGCCAATACACTGCAGCAGACTCTGCATGTAAAATCCAACCCAAGAAGACCTCTGGCTTCCAAGTGCAGGCTTGCAAATATGGCACCCGCAATGAAACGGCTGCTTTGTGATGATTTCCTATGATGGTGTTTATGTATGGAAGCCTTTTCCCCTCTTGAAGCAATTTAATTGGAAAATGGCAAATGAATAAGGAAAGGCAGACGTCCAGTTCCGATTAAGAACACTGACTGTACTCTGTGCTGCAGCCTTAATGAACTCTCCCTGCTGTAGCTGTCCCCAAGTGACTGCCTTCCCAGGGGACCTGGTGTGTGGGGGGTGGGGGTGGGGGGTGGGTGGGAGGCTCTTCCCTGAACACTCTCATCCTCCCCGCCCCTTGGCGACACCCCTCAGAGGCTTCTGTTTACCTGCCTTTCTCAGAAGCTCTGTGCTTTCTGTGGTGGTCCTCACTCCACTGTCACGTCTTGCCTACTTATCATCCTCCAAAGAACAGTGGGCTCCTAGGTAGGAGTCATTGCTACTCCAATATCTGAGCCTCTGTTGAACAAGATTATGAAAATCCTGGCCTGCGCAGCACCTAGGCTGCTATTGTTAAGTGAACCCTGATGCTGGTCTGAACTTAGAATGTAGGACTGTGGACCAAGGCTGGACTGATTGCAGTCAGTTGTGTGCTAGAATGTAAGCCCAGGGTCAGGGTCCAGGTGAGTTTAAGGGAGGCAGGTTCACACTGAAACCTGCAGCGGCACCTTCATTCTTCCATGCAACTCTGTCTGGCTAATTCTGGAATCAGAAGGCAGCTCAACAAATTTGGTTTTACTTGGCCTTGGCAGCGATCACACTGCTATTTTGGATGCTCTTTCTCATTCATTCTCTGCTTTACTAGCCTTTCCCATTTCCTTCCTACATCTTTGGCTGATCGATTGGTAGGTCAGCTGATTGATCAGTTGTCTATTCCCACAAGTATTTTTGAATGCATACTACATACATGCCAGACACTGTGGTAAGCTCTGATGATATATTAGTAGATAAAACAAACATGTATCTGCCCAATGGTGTTTAGTGGGAGAGCCAGTCATAAAAATACATATATTTAAATAAATGTAAAATGTCCACGTGACAGAGCCAGCACAGGGACCCGCACGGCCTGGTGCTGACAAGACGGCTTTCGGAGGCAATGCTTCACACTGAGGGTGAAGTGACGAGAGGCATTCCTGCCGGAGGACCTGCTGAGGCTCCTTACTGGCTGGCGTCCACCAACGCGAAGTCCAGGCTCGCGCCACTGCCCACCTGCAGAGCGCACTCACGGCTTCAGTGACCAGACACAGATATCCGGGGGTCTCCCAGCTGCTTTTCGGCAGCCCAGACAGCCCTCTCCTCTTGCCGCCTTCTCTGCACACCTACAACTTGCCAAGCATCTCCAGGGCCATCTCTTCACGAACCTCAAACTCATGCCCACACGTGACCGAACCTACATACAGTATCTCGACTGACAGAGACAGGCAACTGGCAAAGCAAACAACTTGGTCCTTTTGCCAAGCTCTCATTTTGGTGGCTGACCCCACTGGTCCATCTATTATGTAAACTCCCGCTTCCTGCCTCACCTTCTGTTTCAAACTTATCAGCAACTTTGGCCTATTTTATGCCTTCTCTACACCTATTAATTTTTCTGTTTACTTTTACACCTCAGCTGCCATCACCTTAATCTTAGCAACAACGTTCCTCACCTAGACTTTTGCTGGAATGCTAACGGCAAGGTTTGTGGTTCAAAGCTCTGAGCTGCTCTGAGGGGAAAAGGTGAGGTTATCTGCTCCAATAAAGACTGATGGCTTCAGGGACCCGATGTTGGGTCGCTATGAGTCAGAAGTGACTCACTGGCAGTGGGTTGGGCTTGGTTTGGTGTAGACTTTTGCAATGATTTTCTAGCTCACTTTTCTCGCTCATGCTTGATGCAGTGGTCATTTCTGAATACAACAAAAAGGGGTTGATCTGAAATGAAAATGTGACCTTCTCACCCCCTTCTCCAGCTATTTAAAATCTTTCAGTTGTTTTTTGTCAGTCTTTGGATAAAGGCCAAAGTTGCTATCATGTGTACAAGAGCCTGTCTAATTCTTCAGCCACCATCTCCTATCTCTGTGTCCTCTAGTCACAGCGGACTTCTTGCTCCTCCTTGAATTTACTGTGCACATAAACCCTCACCTCCCACCTCTGGCTGAACGCCTTCTCTTCTGGATCTCAGCTCAAGTGTCAAGGCTTGACGTCTTCCTGGGACCATTCTGAACCAAGTTCCTTTAACACGTTGTCTTGCTACTAAGCTCTTAATGCCGAGAAAGAGAAAAGCAGATGGATATAGACAAGGTGTAAAATTGGCGAGATATGCTGAAGGACTGGAGACAAGAGAGGGAAGGCGGCAGTTTGTGCATGTGTGTGTGAGTATGTGTGCATGCACACACAAAGTGGGGGTTCCCACAAATATAATATTTGATTAAAGTTTCTTTTCCCAACTGAACTGTAAGGTCCATAAAAATGGAACGATACATAATCTTCTAGTGCTCCGCTACATGTAAATATGTCCTGAGCTACGCTGCTTCTCCTCTTTCTGACTGCAGGCCTTTAAAACCAGAGCGTTCTAGCTTAAGAGGACTTCATGGCTTGTGTCCACAAGGCGAATCTCTCTCTAAAGATCCAGGTAGGTATTTCCAACTGGATTGGTGGTTTTGCAACATCTATCACTCATAGTTGGAACATTTTATTTGGCTCGCTAGTACATATGTACACAGAGTTGTTGCATGCAACAACACTGTCACCCTACTTTTCCTGTCCAGTCTAATTCTCATTGTTCATATGGAGTCAAGACTCACTTCTGGGCTGTGACTTGTTATGTAAACACACTATACCAGATATTCCACACGGACATTTCTCCTCAATCTCAAGCAAGACTATTTCTCAACTCATTTCTTAATCCAGCCTCTTTGCTAAAAGGACTATGATCAATCCTTAGTCACTTTCGATGTGTTGGAATCATTTTGAACTTCTCTTTCTTACCCAAGAGTTGCTAAACCATTCCTTCTTTCACTGCAATGGGCTGCCTACCTCCCATCTTAGGTATTCTCTCCATTTCCGCTCAGATTTTTCTGTCAGTTGGAATATTGCGGTTCCTTCTTAACTCGTTCCTTGATTCTGGAATTTTCCAGTAGAGGTAATAAATGTTTAAAATCACAGAGTTGGATAGAAGTATAATTCAGCTCTCCACTTCCACTTGGGTCAACTAATGAGTATCTCAGAGACTGGAGTGAATATGCACTAATCTACTCATCTGACTCTTTGAAATAACATTTTAATACAGGCTGTGTCACATTTCTAAAACTCTTGCTACAATCCAGAGGCCAAACTCTGGCTCAGTGGCAATGGAAGGCAGACTCACCCATGTCGGCAGTGACCATCGTGGACTGGTTTTCGGGGATGGAGACAGACGTCTGGTCTTGGTCCATGCTTCGAGAGTCTTCATTGACCTCGTGTTGGCTCTGGCTGAGTTCTGACCGCAGTTCGGAGTACTCATCTTCTTCCCTGAGGAAAATGGACAGCCAGTCACCATTGAGAGCATTCAAGACACATCTATCAAGAATGTCTCTCTTATGGACAAGGAGATATTCAGAGACAAGACACATGGAAATCTTCCTCCAAGACACGAAGACTAGGATTCCTTACAGGCCCAGTGGATGGCCACATCCACCCATTGGTCAGTGTGTACAACCAAAAGGTTGCTTCTGTGTGTTCATATTGACCTATATACTGAATAGGAGTCATCTATTTATCGACTGGAAATAGTTTTCCCTTGAAAGATTTCTTGAAGAAAACAGATTTATTTAGTAACGGAAATCATGAAATGAAAAAGAACCAATCAAATTCCTAGCACTGAGACTGCAACGAGAAAAAAACACCACAAAATAAGAGGCTGATGCGCAGGTTTAGCACACGCCATTCCTAGCAGGTCCCACTGGGAGGCTTTCGTTTGAAGGAGCATTCAGAGATACCGGCACACCCGGCCTACATCAGTGCAAGCCTGGCTGCATCCTCCCAGACACCGTGTATCAGTCTGAGAATTACCACACTCCCTGCCCCAAGTGGATGGGGGAGAGATGTGGACAAATATGGAAGCAGTGAAAGAGAGAACACCATTCAGAGGATTATTTCCTTCAATTTGCATTTGCAACAGGAGGCTAACACTGAAATGCAGCTACATTCCATTTCACACAGGGACTGGACCCATTCACACCCTCCCTAGAGCTGCTTTTAGTATGTAGAACTGTTGCCTGTTTCTCAAAGCACACACATTCCCTGCCTGCAGCACCACTACCCACACTGGGCAGAGAAGGCAAAAATTAACCCTCTTTGAAATACTTATTTTACAAGTGGGCCAGAGGAGAAAGCAGCGGGGGATTTAATTGTGGGGTTGGGGAGCTCCCTGGGATCTGCTCGGGCCCCAGGGGGAGGATGTCAGTGAAAAAACATCTAGGAAGAAAAGAAAACCTTACATCTTGGCACTCTCTGTAAATTGTCACCAACCACAGGGACAGAGAGTCTACAGCCTGGGTTTGGGGTAGACCAAGATGGTGAATGGTGCGATCGCTGGGTTTAGGGAAGAGGGGGTGCCACTTTAAACTGGGGAGAAGAATCTCTAAATGGGAGGAATGTGGAGAATATTCGGGAGTTCTTGGTTCTCTTAAGAAATCACCGGCCTCCTGCCGGAGTGATTCAGCTCAGTCCTTGCTTTCCACAGTGTTTTAATAAAAACTGTTCAGAACTCTAGGAAGACTTTAACACAGATAGAAAGCTGCCAGCTACACAAAATATAAATTGGAATGGGAGTGGTAAAAGAAAAATATATAGGTTAATGTTCTATGAATAAGTTAATTATTAGACATCTGTAAAAGCCAACAGTAATTAGCCTTAGGAACAAGAACAATTAAAAAGTACTCTTACGAGTCACCTTTTTGGTCCAGAGGGTAATTGTTCGTGCTGGGATACATCAGCTCTCTTTTCAATCAGCACTTCAAACTGATTTTACTTAACAGGAGACTGTGTGTACGATGCATAAATTACCTTTGTTGCATGGCCAATGTAATCAGCTTCGGCCTAGCAGAACATGTTTTACAGCCAGGAAGGCGAAGGGTAAACACCACTGCTTTTTCTCTGGTGTGAGTGCCATTTGTGCAATCTTCAATCACCACCGTACACCCTCCTGGTCTGGCAGGGTCCCGAACACAGAGTGCTTGCCAAGGCTCCTGCTTTGCTCGGAATTCTTTCTAGGGATTACTGGGATGTACGTTATCAATGATGAATAGGGAAGAGGTGGGAGAGGGGCACTGTTGATGATGGGAAACATTCCCTCAGGAGGTTAGAACAGTTTGAATGAGAATTGGGGCTCGTTCGAAATGTTATCTTACAGAAGGCTCTCTCTCACTAGCATGAAACTCAAACGAAGGTTCTCCATTCAAAAGGTGTAAGGACCAAAATAAGGAGAGCAAGGCAAAGGCCAGCTGGATTTGTCTTTCGGGAAACAAATGTGTTCACAATGCATTCGGAACTAGGAAAGATGCTGTGGGTGTACATGGAGGGCAGCATCTGGGGGGGCTGGTAGAGAGTGACCAGGGAAGACTTCCTGGATGAAGCATATCAAGGTCAGTCACAAAGCAAGTAGCTTTTAGATGGGTCTGCATGGCAGATAGGAGCCCAGGTGACGGAGTGGTTACCTGTTGGGCTGTGATCTGAAAGGTTAGCAGTTTGAAATCATCAGCAGCTCCTTGGGAGAAAGATGGGGCTTTTCTACTCTTGAAAAGAATCGCTATCTCCGAAACCCACAGAGGCAGTTAGTTGTACCCTGCCCTAGAGTTGCTGGGTGTCAGCACTGACTGGTGGCAGTGGGTTTGCTCATTTTGGCTTGCAGGGTGGAAGGGCACATGCAAAGGCTCAAACTTGTGAATGTATGAAACGACATAAGTGTAGGTGGTTCCGTATAGCTGAAACACAGGTGGGGCATGGGACGGGAAAATGAGGCTGGAGAAGCACTCAGGGACCTCAAGAACAGAGGACACGTTTCTGCTAAGATGCTTGAATCCTGAAGCCATGGGTAGGCCACCTACAAGCTCGACAGAGAAATGGGTTCAGACTGTCATTTAATCTCGTGGCTGTGGGGAAAAAGATTCAGGGAAGAGCAAGAACACTGGCTACAAAACTCCAGACAAGAAGTGATCAAAAGGCGTTACTCCAGTGACTTACCCAAGATTATGTAGTTGCAGAAGTGAAAATGGGTCGTGAGAAGGAGGTAGGTTCAGGAGCTAGTCAGGAGGCAGAATCCCCAGGCCCTGAATGTAAGATAAAGCTGAACAGGTGCCCAGGATGACTCCAAAGTTTCAAGTTGGATGGGGAGCCTTGGCGGAAGGCACACTGTAAAGAGTAGATGGTAGGTGGGAGGACATACTCTGGACAGGGAACCAGCTTGTGAGAAACCTCAGGCTGAAGGAGAGGCAACACAAGCAACACACGCAAGTGAAGCAAACAGTCATCAGAGGTGGGGAGCCACCTTTGCAAAAGACCGGGGAACAGTTTTGTGCCACCAGGAACGAGGTAGGCAAAAGTTAAACTACCGGAAGTCTAGACGTTAGAAAGTTCACTTAAATGTGTTGGTCGGCTCACTGACTTTGACCAAACACCATAGGGCTGTGTTTTCATCTTTACCTTGCTCCCCACCCACACCGTTCCTCCGACTGAGGTTCCAACAAAGCTAGTTCTCTCACAGACTGTCCCCTTGGCATCGCAGAATCCGAACCTGACAGACACACTGGAGTCCTCTATTATCCATGAAGTACAATGGGACACAGGGGAAAACCCTCTACAGGCAGTTTCAACAAAGACAAATCTGTGTTTGGTGGCTGCTTGGAAGGGGGTTCACCCACCTGACCAGGTATTAGCCTCCTGCATATAGCTACCTCTTGTCAAGTGATAACTTCTTTTGGGGTGGGGATGCTCTTAAAAGAGCACCACCTGCTAATGCTGGTGACGAAAAGGAAGACAGAGTGGAAAGGGCCCACAAATGACCATTTAAACCAGAAGGTAACGCTTTGATGACTGGATAATTACGTGCTCTAGTGGTAGTTTCTTAATCAGGGAATTACAAGGTCCTGGGATAGCTCGTGTTATAACATAAAGGATCATCTCACAGTGTTCTGCATGGTCATTTATTGCATTTATTTAGAAGCATTTGTGAAGCGCTGCCTTGCTGCTCTCTTTAGTGAAACAATAATCATGCCTGTGACTAGCTGGGGAAAAGAGCTCATAGACAGACTTCCCTTTACAGATATGACAAGCGAGGCTTTCAGAGGCAAAGTTAGCCAACATCATGAGAGGAGCTGGTGCTGCTGTCGCCAGGGGCACTGAGTGGGTTCTGGCTCCGTGAGCACTGCACAGGCCTGCGCCACACGCAGTGACTTTCCTGATTGAGCCCATTGGGGTGGCCAAGGTGTCGATGGCAGTGTTTCCCAAAGTAGGCAATGCCTCACCCCGGGATGGGGGGCACTGGAAAGATTGTTGGGGGTAGACTGCAAAAAGCAGTTATCTATACTTAATCCTGGGTTATGGGCTATCGCACAAAAGCTTTTAAATTGCCAGTGGGCCAGTGAGTAAAAAAATTCCTCTTTTTTGCTGATCCTCTTTTACAAAGGATGGTGTCCTTTTCCAGGGACATGAAGTATATGAAGTGAACTCTCATTCTTTTGTAAGACCACAGTATGGTCAACAGTCTCTGCCAACATCATCATTTAAATAACGCCAATTCTTATTCAGTCTCCCTTACTCACCACCTAACTTTTACATGCACATGAGGGGATTGAAAATCCTCTGGTTTGCGGCAGGTGCTCCCTAATCCTCAAAGCAACACCTTTGCCTTTAGGCAATGTAAAGACTTCCAGCAGCTCTACTCTGCCCCCAGGGTAGCTGTGAGTCACAACCCATGTGATGGCAGGAGATTGGAGTTTGTTTTGGTAGCACAGTGGATTACCTCTCAGTCAGAGAAATGAGGAGGCCTTCTGCTCCTATACAGCTTGACGGCATCAGAAACCCATGGGGGCAGTTCTGCCCTGGCCTAGAGGGCTGCTATGAGTTAGGTTGGACTTATTGAAAGTGACATTTGTTATTTGTAGCATGAATTGGATGAATTGGAATAATCTGTGCAGATTCTGGGTGGATATCTGTACACCTTGGCAATCATCAGTTAACTGTGGGAAGCAAACCTAACCTACCTGGTCTGTTGATTTTGTTGAACTACATTCTACAATTCTTACACTTAAA